AAAAAAAAAGAAAGAAAAATACAATACTGTGAAGATTGCTCCTTTCTTTCCTGGTTAGTTGCTCATTAGATGTCAGCTAATGCTGCTTAGCGCCTGGAAAATCATAGCTTAGCCATTTTTGGGCAATTTTATAATTGCCTACTCATGGACCTATGAGACTTCTTTACTTTTTAGTCAAGTGTAAGGGCTGTAGTTTAAACAGTCTGCTGCTTTAATTAGATTTTAATCTGCATTGCTACAATCAGCTACTGCTTTGTTAAGTGTTTTTTTTTTTTTGTTAAGTCAAAGTTAATGATCTGCTGGTGTTATGCATTGCTTTAACAGTTTCCCTTTCAGGTCTTCCCAAGACACACAGAACTGGCTGTAATTCCTTAGAATTACAGAAAAGAAAGAAGAAAAAGCTTTCATAGTACCTTGGTTTTTACATTTGTACTTTAAATATTTATTTGGAATTTTATAAATAAAGATTTTATAAATGTCTTTTTAAAATAAAATTCATAGACCAGTGCTCAGTAGATATGACCCACTGTCTGCCTTCATGCATATATCCCCATGGGGAACCAGTCTGGAAGAAGGAAGCTGGCACCCGTCCGGCAGCGATGCTGCTCCCCCAAACGAGCTCTGCTTCGTTAGCGAGCCAGCCACAGGCCACCACCTTGGGCTCTGAGCCCTGCCTGGGGCAGGAGGTGCCCCCGGCACCCTCAGAGGTCGGCACAGACAGCATGGGCACCCTCCCCTGCCCACAGCTGGCCTGAGCTCCGGGACTGGTGTGGAGACCTGGGGCTGAGTCTTGTTGTCCCATGCACATGCGAGAATAGAAGTTTGTTTTTAAAACAGTGGTGTAGGACCAGAGCTTCCAGTTATGGAAACAAACTGACATCCAGCTTTGGGGAACATGCCCTTGTGCTTTTTGCTGCTGTTTCTAGTAACACTGGGCTTCACATGATAAACATTAAAGCTCCAGAAAGAAGATGAAGCCTAGATGCTCAAAGATGCACAGCAGCAGAGAAAGGCTGAGAAGTACCAGAAGCCACCAAAGCCGTCTCTCACTTCTTTGGAGTGATAAAGCACCCTCCTGGTACTACAACATATAATCTGTGTTGTGTTACCTGAGGACAAATTGAAAAGTAAAGCTTGATACCACAAGCACCAGGTTAACCGGTCAAACTTTGGCTGTTTCTCCTCATCAAAAGCCCCTTACAGATCCATTACTCCAGCTTTAATTAGCAAGAGAAGACAGAGACCCAGTAGGAAGCATCTCTTCGAAAGGTTTAAACCATTTCTAATGTGTTACCTAAAGATGGCAAAAGCCCAACCCTAATCTAAACATGTAATTACATAACACATATATAATTACAGCCCATAATTGCATCAGCTATAATCTGAATTTTGCACAAAGGGGGCGAGAGAAAAAGGGATGTCGGCCTAAGAGCTCCTGAACGGCTTTGACACAGCTGGTAATTTTTCAGCAGACTCACGAGGCTGTAACCTCTCAAAACACGCATCAGGTATTTCACCTCTGCCGACTTCCCTGCGAGAGGCGGGGAAGATCCTGCTGCCGGCTCCCAGCAGAACGTGTGAGCACAGTCCATGCCCAATAAGCCAGATACCGCTTTCACAGCTTAGTTGAAGCAGTTCCGTTAGCACACTGTTTGCAATACCCAGGACTGGCACTGCCAGTGGAGAGCAAAGGCAGGGTCACTCTTGAAGTGTTAAAAGTCTTTGTCCTTAGAACGGAGGACAGAGGCACCCGTCGGGAAGGCAGAGCTGGGACGGCAGCCCTGGCTGTAGCTCCTAGCTCTGCTTATGAAGACAGCGGATTGGGGAGCAGAGGAATACCAGCACCCTGGCACTGCTGCGTGCCCAGCTTTCTGCATCTTGCGCCAACAGAAAAGGCAGTATTAATTCAAGTCCAGATCGCCTGCAAATCTTGCTATCTGACACACAAAAGCCGGTCTAATCCATGACTGCCAGCGTAGCCAGCACAAATCATTCTGCTAAGAAGGTCAGGAGAAGAAACCGCACACAGATACAGATCTGACAGTGTGCCAGAACATGCCATGGCCTAAGGATACACAGCGGTGCAGCTCCGGAGGCCACTCAGCTGCTTCGATTTACCCTGGACAGGAGCCAAAATGGCAATTGGGGCAACCTCTCAGAGCTTATTGTCTGCAGGACCGGCTTAAGAAGTTTCAAGATAAGAGGATCAATAAGACACAACAGCGTAGCAGTGTATGCGCAGTCTAAAGATTACACTAGTTTTCTGTGAAAGGAATAACTTTATTCCATTGACCAGGAATCCCAAGACTGTTCATCAAGACTGCCTATTTTTCCAGTGCCAAATGTCTATGTGTTCATCGGACAGTATCTCCCCGAACGCTCACAGGCAGGCTGCGGCTGCTCCTCACTGAACATTTTGTAAGCTGTATAAAAACATTTTCATCCAAAAAGATTGGCAGTAAAAATTACAACATAGAAATGCATCACAATTTACACAAAAACTAGTTTTGTTGAACTCTATTTTCCAAAAAATAATCTTCAGCAGGTTCAAATGACAGCAGCTGGAAACAAAAATAATTGACCAAGTTATCATCTTATTGCAAATTATAACCATTGACTTTGTACAAGCGTGAGCAGAACCATGAAAAAGTTTGTATTGGTTTCAAGTATACAGTGGTGATGAGCCATCCCGACGCAATTCTCTTATCAATGCTTCTTTGGGCCTGCGGTAATCGAAGATGTTGTTTCCATAGGAAATAACAGGAACCTGAAGTGACAAGTGGTGCCAACCCATCGGAACATTACCAGCTTCTTCCATCACCATCACCGCTGTGTACTGACCTCCTGTGACGATTTATGACCCATTAACAAAGTATTAGGGATGGGGGAAGGAAGAGGGGGTATCAGTAAGAAATGATTTATTTAAAATTAATTTAAAACACCACATTTAAAATGTCCCAGCACATTATCAGAAACATTTATAAAATGCTAACTCTGCCATGTGTCTATGAAGACATTGTTTGGAAAAGAAAGTGAGAGATTCACTACAATGCCACCCTTACTTCTTTGCACACGCAGTTTATGACAACGGCTCTCTTAACCCGCAATAAGTTATAAAGCTGTACAGCTGAAATCAGATCGGATGTTTACTTCCAACAGTGAAATGACTGGTTAATTTCAACATTAGTGCACAACAGTGAAAAGCTGTCTGCTGCTTCTTGTTTCGGCAACAGTATGTAAAAAGAAAAAAAAGGCACTTTTTGGCTGGTTGTGCCTTTAACTTGGCAAATTTATCTATTCTGGAGGTACCCAGGCACTCCTTAAGATGTCCCCCATTTCTGTGCATGTTTGTTTACAGATTTTTTTTTTTTTTAAAAGTAAGGCAGAATCCATAAATAAAGGCAAAAAGCAGTGCAGAAAACGTGACCAACGCAAAACGTACAAAAGATGAAGAGTTAGTTGGCACAAAAGAAGCTTGTATCCAGACCCAGAAATCACTGAACTGCACTTGACGTGGAAAACAAAACTGTGCTCAAATCATCCCAACTGGTTTCCAGTTGTTTATGAGCAAATCAAAAGAGCTGTGATATTTTAAACGTTGCCTGGTCAAGTGAAAATACAAACAAAGCCAAATCATTCTTTCCCTGTGTTAAAATTGCTATAAAATCTGCACAACAGTGTCCTCAACTCACTCAAGGAATTATTCATCATATACAACCAATACCAACTTTCTCAGTAATTTCAAAGCATAAGCAAGTGATTGCAGATCACATGATTGAGACTATCTTTTATTCAACATGTCTCCAAAGGTTAAAAAAATTCAATGAGTAAAACTGCAACAGAATTCCATCTTAAAGTGCTTTTTTCTTTTAAACTACTCATTAACTTTTTTTTTTTTTTTTAATTCATCAACATCCTCAAATAATAAACACTTGCATACCTAGAGAACAAAGCTTTTCTTTTATTGCCCTTCCCAATTGTCTGTGGTTTTCGGAAGGGTACCAGAAAAGACGACCCATTCCAGAGCAACTTGACCAAACCGTTCTGTAAGGAATCACTCCCCTTACAGAGCAATCTTGCTGATCCTTCTCATAAAGAGCTTTACAAATTAGCAGGGAGACATATTAAATACAGAAGTCCTTATGTAAACCCATTCTTTAACTAATATTTTACAATGAAATGTAAGTCATCACACATCTTTACAGAAATTTGAATATTCCTATTCAATATTATCAGAAAGATTAAAAATTTGCCCTCCATACATAAGGGCAGTCTGTCGTCGTTTTTTTCCTGTATAAAAACCAAAAGAATTTTTTTGCAGCATCACAGAAAAGCAACAGTTTTACATTCACTCATTTAATGTTCACATAAAAATTCAACCACTAGCGTTTGTGTATTTGATAAAATCTTCTTGACAAACTGTTTTCGGTGTCTGGACTGTCATAAGCTACTGCAGGTAAAGACGCAGTTTTCTAGAGCATTTATTGATCTGAAGCCTTCGTGGCTAAAAAATGCTTTTAGCTTTCAGGGAAACAACCTCCTCGGGTATTGCCTCCGATCCTATAAAGCCACTTCTCTTCCAGACTCTTCTAACGCCATAAGCAACGGGACTCCAGTTTCAGTAGGTACCAGGCATTAAATGTTTGAGTCGATCTGTTCTTGTGTTCATAGGTATCCTCTATGGGTCAACATCATCAAGGTCACTTTTAGGCTCACCAATCATCATAGGAGACTCTGAGCCCTTTCAATACACACAAGGGATGGGGAGAGAAAGGTACGGTTTGTTACTTTGGTAAGGTGCACAACTACCGTGCCTACCCTCGGTGCCGGTTCTGACCTGAGCCCCAGGAACAAGCTGTCTAACAGAGCAACATGACAGAAGATAAACATGCCCTTATTTTATTGTTACCTGCTGCAGACGCCTCTCTCCGTTCTCGTTGGCTGGACTACTTTCTGACCCATTACTGCTTCCAGACTGATCTTTCTCGTTCAGCAAGGCTGTGGCATAGGCCAGCGTGTCCTGAGTTGGAAACAGTCCAAGAGAGTGTCAGAGGCCATGGTGATAACTTCATTTCATAACTTATTTTTTCAAAAAGTTGATTCTGAAACAATATAGCTGCTGTAGTGAGATAGCTTAAGTCACCACAGGTAATTGTGAGGTATTGACTAATATCATTCAAGGGTTAGTTTTTTCAGGAACAATTGCAGGGGCTGGGCTTCTAAAGGAGGAATGGTATTAAGTGGCCTGGAATATGCTAAAGTTGCCAAACCCAAAGGTGTTAACTGAAAAGCAAAAAAGGAAATAAAACAAGTTTAACAATGTCTCCCAAGACTGACACATACCTGTGCTGAAATAGTGCGCTGGAAGGTTTTTGCAGTTGATGTTTCATTGGATACGTTACTCTGTGGAGCCCAATAATGTTCAGACATCTGCATAAAAAGTCAAGAATGCCATAAAATGGCCATACAAGTTTTACGTGTATAAAGCCTCATCCACTTGTGATGGTAGGTGAACTAACAAGTCTGGAACAAGCTTCCTGAATCCTCTGGTCAGGAGCTGACATCAGAACAGTCAGGGAGGCTATTGCCCCTCAGCTTAAAACTAGCAACTGACTCCCTTTATTTGGCAACTGCACATGCCTGCAAGTTACTGGATACCAGCTGAAGAGCAGTGGATTCAGGGTTTACAGGAGCCAGTACGAAGTAAAAATGGGGACAGCAGGACTATCCAGACCTGTCAGTTCACTGTGTTTCAAGAAGAAGAGTGGCAACAAGTTGTGCCAGCTGCACTGCAAGCATCTCACTAATTTTGCCCCCACTGTTCAGTACAGTACCAGTTTACGCATCTCACATCTGCCTGGCAGCAGCTGTCAGGACAGAAAGGCAGCCTGGAGCTGGGATACTATTGCGTTGCACATGCAGTGCTGGGAGATCCAGCATGGTCCTGCTTGACTGGAGGCAAACCTGGGCCAATTCTGCTGAGCTTTAAGTTTCCAAAGTGTCCTTGGGTATTTATTAAAGATGCATTGGCCAACCTACGTTAAGTTTAGAGGGAAGAACAAAAACTACATGTGTGGGAGGAAAAAGCTGTACCTGTCAACAACCATGTTTTGTGCAAAGCTGCATGGATTTTGTGAGGAATCCACTCATTTACACATTCTCTCGCATCAACACACAGGCAAAAGAAAACTGTTTTTTTAAAAAAAGCGAAGCCTTCTAACATGAATGCAGTGGCACTGAAAGCTTCCTACATGGTAAGCTTTAATAATTACAACCATTCACACTTGGTTTTATTCACTGTACACGCATCTATGCCTGAAACGTGGGGGCCTACTGAAGTTCTTGCATGCATCACATTTAGCTGCATCTAAACTGTCCTTGTAAAAAATGAAGTAACTTGTAGTTTGTCTTTAGAGTCATCTCAGAGAGCCATATAGAGGATGGAGATTTCATTATTCTCATTGTAAACAAGTGGCAGTTTCTCTGTAAAGTTACAGCCAGATTACCTTTTTCTGTAGCCACTGCACTGCCCAACTCCAGTGGTGGGAATTCTCCTTGAAATAATCTTTTGCAGTAGGGCACCTTGGAAATTGAAATGATATTCATTAGTCATGAACAAGGCATTCTGGCAAACAAAAACACTCCAAAGACTTCTCTCTCTTTGCGCTGCTGCCCTCTGCATGCACTGTTATCACTGCAAACTTTGACTTAAACTGTACAGCCCTGTTATTAACTGAATTAGCAAGAGCAATAATGCCTACTAAAGTTTACACTGCTTAAGGTAGTCTACTACACAGATTCATGTATTTCAGAACTATGCTTTATTAGGACATATAACAAGTTCTAAAACAAAGAGAATTTAGGAATTATAATATTTCAAAAATCCGGACAGTTTCCTTACGTTTACCTTGGTCTCAATGCTAGGCTCCTGCTCTACAGAATGTAGCTGACCTTTGACTTTATAAACAGCCTTTATCAGTTGTTACACGAGAAGTCCATCTTGGGTACTAATCAGATTTCACTTCATACTGACACGTGTACTATCAAGACCTTTGAGCATGACTTATCACAGTAACAAAAGATAAAGCTGATCAAAAGTAGAAAGTGTAGCAGCCTAAATAGTCACAGAGGGGCCTAAGGTAGGGATGAGGTTAAACTCTGAAACCTGTATTACTCACTTCTGAGCCAAAGTAACGAGGAACTTGACACACTGGTAACAACGGCTGCTGTCCACATGGTTGCTGTGGTGCATCAAGGCTGTGGGGAGAAACACATGGATTAAAAAAACCACAATTCAGACTTCTGTCTACCAGCCAGTCTGAAAACATAACAAAGGTGAAGCTAAAATTTTAAGTTAGGTGGTAGAAATTATTTCTACAGATGTTAGCACGAATATTTGTTAAACACACTGCTGTATTGCTGTGTTTTGAGTTTTGAGTACTTCCACAACTCCGTGGGTTTAAAAATAGATCAAAGTAAAAATGCAGTAATTCTTTCAAATGTGGTACCTGAATTTTAAACAGTCCTCTCCTAATGCAGTTATTCTTCCCCTATAATCCATTCTATGTTAGATAATCGCTATGGTTACATGTATCTGAAGGGAAAAAATCTGTTTGAAATCCCCATAAATGCACCAGATCACCAGCTTCCACCTGGATCAAAATCTGCAAAGCTAGAAGAATGTTTAAAGCTTCTTCACACAAACAAGCATAGCAGAATTCAACAGCCATGAAACTCTTCTATGGGAGACGTGGGCAAAACCCCAGGCCATTCCTACCAGGAAGTTTTCTATACCGTGAATTCCCACATCTTTTAACAAAATTATTTGACTGAGGAGAAGCACAAAGATTTCCACGGAGCTGCCATAATCAGATTTGCTACTCAAAAGTTGCTTGGTCCATAGTAGTCAGCAAAACACTGTAGTGAAACCTCTAAAGTTGGCAAATAATTGCTAGGGAACTGCAAATTGCCAGGTTTTCTACTGTCAAAGCACAGGAAATGATTAAAATTACAGCACTGGTGTACTGCAAATTATGCACAAACAGCCTACTGAGGACCACAGAAAACTATTACTTGCTGATTTTCTTTCTTGGAGTAAAACTAGCCAGTGTGACAGATACGTCACGGTCCACGTCCAGTGAGACTGGATGCTCTTCAGTGCTGTTGAAAGGAAACTCCAAGGTAAGACTACAACTTTCACTCCCCAAACTATCAGCAGTTCTTGAAGTCTTCAACATAAAAATCCAATTGAATAATTGCACCTCTCCTCTGTAGAGGAAAAAAGGTCATGTATTGCTCAAGTTACAGAGTAGAATTGGTCCAAGAGGGACCAATTTACCCAGAAATAAAATAAGCACTTCGCTGTTCTCTTACACCGCTGCATATTATCTTCTCGTCTATCAGTCATACATGGAAACTACTAAACAGAAGAGCACTGAATTATAAGAGAGAAATAAAGAACAAAGCTAAATATTCACCTCACTAAAACAGAATCCAAAATAACTTAAGGTGAAAGCCACAATCTGAAGCAGCTTCTCATCCAAACAGCTATGAAAGGGATGCTCAAGCTGCACTAATTCATCAGAGGTGCTTGAGCACCACGTGGCTACCCCACATTTCTCTTGCACACAAAGCCTCTTTGCCTGATTCATATAAAGTAAGCTCTCATCACTTCTGGAACTTTGCTGTTGCTTTTGAATGCTTTAGTAACTTCACTTCAGTAAAGTTTCTGTATCAAACGAAGAGACAACACTTTGTATGAGCAGCAACAAAAACAGGAGCCACCTGACAGATTATGAGGCTATCCTGCAGTCAGTAGTATTAGTATCCTTCCATGCTGAACCAGTTTCTTTTTATGGTAATTAGGATGCTGAAAAAACAAAAAGATCAGCAATTTCTTGAGATACATAGAAAATAAAAATTATTTTTTAAGGTTACAGGATTCATAGAGCTACCCTTATGTTAATCCAAGATACTTTTTTTTTTTGCCCCTCTGCATTATGTATACACCCTGATCTGCTTCTTATTTAAAAAGAGTTAGCTCTCTTGCCAGCCTCTTGGTTAAGGTTCTTTTAATGTCACTTTTTAAGTACATAAAAGTACCACTTTCCTCTGGGTTCACTGACTGCTGTTGTTGGAGATAATTAATTTTTCCCAGTTAAATTCCTTTCCAGTTTGCTGTTACTATAATATTCTCATGCTTATTTTGGATTTACTTAGAGCGTTTTTGGGGCGTTGGTGGCTAAATCAAATGTGTCGAGTAAAACAGTTTAGAAGGATTAGAAACTAGGAGATGATATGAAACATCATCAACATTAGGGTCAGTAGGAGACAGGAGCATTCACCCACTGGCTTACTTGCCTATTAAACCATTTTCAGTTTCAAAGGCAAATTTGATGCGCTCTACTTGTAATGGGTCTTCAATAACCTGTTAGGAAAGAAAAAGATCAATGTAAGTTGTGTGTGATACCTGTAGCTATTCTATGGAATGGTTTGAACCACCTCAACATGAAAAACAAATGAGACTTCTGAAGTTTCATGTATCACCACATTATCAAGACAGCAATTTAAAAAGTAATAAAAACTCCAAACTGAAGGATTAAAAGATACGCGGATGTTGAAACTGCCAATGCAGTCCTGACTTTTTTGATTACACACTGACACAAAATCTATCCTGTTCAAGTCTTTACTGTTCACCTACCAGTATCTCATGGAGTAACTGGAATATATTTTTCAGTTCATGAGGTGGAGCAGTTTCCAGCTGAGTCTGCATGTAAGAAATATGAAGTTACTTAGATAGTAAAATACGTCGATAATGCAAAGAATTACAAGACAGCTTCACAGATTTTTGAAATTTTTTTGTTTTAATCAGTAAAAGCCTTAAAAAAACCCAACCTAAACCCACCAACACCGCCTGGAAAATCCAACAAACTGTACTGATTGTCCTGCAGATCCCAGCGCCATTATAACCCACAAGACACAGTATGACCAAAGCCTAGAAGAAACACTTATGCAAAAAGCTTATTCTTGATTATCTCATTACCTTGATGAAGTGTAGCACAGTAAAGGAAAAGTGCTCGTTACAGAAGCAGCAGTACACCACCATCTCAATGAGAACTGACAGAGATCCAGTTAGCTCTCGTAATGCATACATCACCTAATGGAAAAGTGCAAACAATTTCAGACACAGCCATACAGGTTTTTTTTTAAGTTTGTAATAGAATGTTAGTCTTTTCCAGGATGGATGCAGCTTTTTCTCCTAGCACCTGCATAGCCCAGTGAGTTAAACCCCTGCTCTCACAGCACTCCATTCAGCTCCTGCTGCCCACCTCCAAGGGTCTGGTCAAGCACGATCCATTAAGTCAGAGCAATTCAAGCTAGCACCTCCAGCTGACATGGTAACTGACTGCATGGGCACTTGCAAAATGTGGTCAGCTGCCTTTGCTAACTTTGTAAACTTTCAAACCAGACCCCTAAGTTTAGGGATGTACTAGAACAAGGAGTCAAGAAGAAATCAAAGGTGCCTTCTTGTTTAGGCTGAAAATAATAATCACTTACTTGCCAGCTGGCTGCTTTTTAACATTCAGCGTTCTTCATGTAAGGATACTTCAAAGAAAACACGTCAGATCAGCTTTTAGATTCAAGAAGGGCAGAATTTAAAACAGATACCTCCATTAAGTAGGGTTTTCCCTCAGACAGGAATAACAAGGCTTCCACTTCTTCATGGAGCATCAAAAGCGGACCTGAAGCGGTGATGCTTAGAGGTGGACGCTGCTTGAAGAGACCAGGAGCTATAACAGGAAATACAAAACCAATCCCCTAACTAATTAGTTCGTTCTACACACCTTGAAGACCGCTGCTCATTTGGCACCATGTAATCTCTAACGACATTCATCTCAACTAGCTTATAGCTCGTATAGTACCACTCCCAAGTAACAATCTCTTGCACACTGAAGCGTCATTTACTTTAGTGACAATGTAGGCAAACAAACTGCAAGGAGGTCAAAGCAAAATGTTCGTATTTACTATCCGTACTTTGAGCTTTTGTTTCACTCCCAATTACTGTTGCACATTCATCATAATCTGAACATTTATCATTCTTCTTTTACTTTATGATTTTGACTGCCTCCAACTCCAGAAACTTTTAACCTTAGACAGAAATCAAGTTACTCTTTTGAAAAGACAACTTTAAATTCCTCCTTCAGGAAACTGAAGATCTCAACTTATTCCTTTATTATCTTTATTTGGATATTTTTGCCTCTTCTAAGAAATATCTAGAAGAGTATTTCATTGCTTGTTATTCGGTAGCTCAGTCTAAACACTCCCCTTCACATCAGCAAACGGCATAACAAATCTAAGCAAAATATAGCCTGTTAGGCTGCCAGTCTGTTCCAGCCAACAATGACACAGCTTGATTCACTGACACAAGGAAAGACCTTTTGGGCACACGGGGGAGGAGGGAAGGCACAATAATGTTAGTATCAGGATTTCCACCCCCCGCCTTGAATGTCTGTTATACTATCTGTTTGCCACAGCCTCTCAGTACATTTACAGCAAAATAAAAAGTAATCAAACGTATGCTAATCATTACCGCCTTAAATTCAAAGTTACTGTATTTTCCTCACCGATATTAAGTTGATTCCCATCAAAATAACTGAAATGCAAAGTCACCAAAAGGCAAAATTGCAATTCTTACCAACGTTTCTTTGTGAGGAGACATCAGAATGCAAAACGAGCAGCGCTACAGTATTGTGAAGATATCCAAACTCACGTGCTTGTGCTGAACTCCACCTGCGATTCTGCTTGAGCCAAAGGAGAGATCTAATTAACTTTTGATTGGTTGATTCAGTCAACTTCTGTTAAGCCAAAACACAGCAATGTCCTTAACAGTCCACCACCATGTTTTAATACTTTGAAGTGGGTGGAAATTTTGTTATTATCAAAACCATGACACTCACTTCTGCTCAAACAGCTATTTCCATGCTAACTACACAAAGGTAGACTAAGACTTGCATGAAGTTTACAGAATAATCCAAGGATTAGTCTATCCTACCACATGAAAAGTATTCATCCATAATTTAAGCATCATAAAAAACATGGGGATGGATAAACTACAGAACAACACATGGTATGTAAATTTTACCTGGTTACTCTGCCGGTTGGGGCCAAGGAGAAAGTTGATCATGTGCCTCAAAGCAGAATGTCTGAGAAGAAGACTGCTAGCCCTTATACCCTGCTGTTCAGACAACAATAAAAAGTTACACTCCTGCAGGTAAAGAACTAGTGCTCTAGAGAAGAAAAGTAAAATGCATAGGCTAAACACTTGCATTTTCCACTCTAAAAAAAAAAAATAAAATATCATCACACAGATCAGTAAGGTACACCTCTAAAAACCTGTCTCATTATATACAGCACATTATATAAACCAGACTAGAATCAGCATATGTGAAGTAAGTGTCATATTAAAAAAAAAAAAAAAAAAGAAGAAAAAAAAGAACAGGGGAATAGAGAGCAACCGTACTGTGGTGAACAGTACAGCCCAGTCAGTTATTCTGCTTCCTACAGGACAAAAATCCTGAACACTGGATTTTTAAGAACAGTCAAGAACACCCCCCCAAAACAGAAACCCAAAATTCAGACTCTGGACATGATATCTTCAATTGGTATACTCTGCTGGTACATTTTTGTTCGATTTTATCCTAATCCAGTGTTCAAAGTCATTTACTTCTCAAAAAAAGAAAAAAAATATACTCTAATAGAAGTTCTGGAAGAGTTTCACCGTGCTGCTTAAACCTTCTATGAATATGGATGACTAGCTGCTTTACTATTGTCCTTTAAAATTAAAATAGCATGAAAAAACAATGGTTTCTTACCTTCTGTACAAAGTTATTGAATAGCAAAAAGTACTGAGCACAGTTTTTACAGTTTTCAGGTACATCTTTATCCAGTAGACCAAGTAGCACCTCCAATAATTGATGTAGAGTTTTTAACTGTGAAAAAATTATCAATTTGAATGTAGAGAGTTGTCTACTGCTTAAAAACCAAAAGTATTTCACACATCAGAGTTAAGGTATGATTAACAAAATTATATGTGTGGTCAGATACACTTGCTGTGATGAGTATCAATAGCTAACAGAGGATTGCAGCCTTCCCATTTTTAACTCTTCTGAATGAATGCTACATGTATTAAACAGGAAAGTAATGAAAGCATTGGCAGGTAGGTAACTTGCTCGAAGAGCTGGAACTCAGCTGTTGCATAAGTTTGTAATATTTTCACAGCAATTCAAATTACTCCTCAGACTGAACTGATGTTCAAATGTTCCAGTCATTATAGTAATCAAAACAAACCAGATTAGCAGTGAATTGTTACTCAAGGTCTCATGTTAGTGTACTATCACACTCAACTACGCAAAAAGCAATGTTAGCATTTAGCTTATATCAAAGCACACTAAGGGTGTACACATACATATATAATTTAGTACATCTCAGTTAACAGATAGTTTTTAGTCACATCCACTTGGGTGTTAGTTGCTATCACACTATACTGTAAATGTTCATCTCCCAGCTACTGTATTCAGCTTGTAGGACCTCACAGCAGTCTTTCCTTAAAGCTCTAAATATGACAAACTTTCTTAACAGAAGCCTATACAACAGTAGTGCCTTCGATTCACGACACTAGATGAAAAAGGATAGATCCCAGAAACTGGATAGAAAAAAACCCATTCTATTGCATCAAATATTAAAATTTGTTGTAAAAAAAAAAAATATTTTATTTCAGACAAAACAAGACTTGGACATTTAGAAGTGTCCAAGCCCCCACTGACAACCTACAGGAACACATCAGAACACAGATAACACTTCTGTCTGAGTTCTTTTAATACAAATTATTTGGTTCAGGTATCCCAAGGGAAACAGGTAAATCTCAAACGCTCTACAAATGACTCCTTTTCACAAATTTCCTGCTTCGTTTTCCTAGAATATTAAGATCAGCAAAATGTAACAAAGCTGCACTTCCCAAACTTACTTGCCAAGATTTTCTAAAAGAAAATCAAACCTTTAACAATAACCATACTTATGGCCTCTCTCTGGAACAAGGTAACTCAGTTACTGCTGCTATAAGCTTCTGACTGAGGAAGGAGAATCAGTTAAAAATTAAGTCGATTCTTGAAATCAGAAAAAGATAATAAATCTTAAGAAAACACCATTTCCAAACTATTAAAAGAATGTGTGATACCAGTTTATAAGACAAGCTGAAATCAGGCAGAATTGTTTATAAGTAATGATTTGAACTTAAATTCTGAGAATTACAGCAGCACGTTACCTCCTCAGGTAGGAACAGACAAGCATTAACCTATCCAAGAAATGAAGAACTACAAGCATGATCAAGAGAAGAGCCTTTCACCTTGTCATTTACAAATCACACAGCACTGTCTGCAAACAAAGCAAGAGCCATTACGAAGGGACAACCAACAGGATTCACTGGTGATGAGGTGACACTAACCTTCTCCTGATAAAGCAAGGCACTGTCGAGGGTTTTTTCAAGAATAGTGGCTACTGCAACTCGCACCTCTCTTACACTGCATTCCAGGAGGAAAGTCCTGGAAGACAAAAGGCGAAGCTGCAAAGAGAACTGGAATCAACGTGTACACGCAGTTACTATGATTAAGTGTGGTGTTTATTACTTTAAAAAGGTTAACAGTCCAGATACTTCTTGTTTTGTACTTCTGTGGGTGAGCTTTAACTTAGTTTCCTGCACTCCTGCTTGTCACTAGCAAGGCCTATAATATTACTTTATATTTATTCATTCAAGTAACAGAAAAGCTAAAACTAAGAGCTATCATAGGATCATGTCTTTCAATGCAACTTCAAAGATAAAATTTTCTTTACATTGACGCACCTCCCTAAGTGGGTCAAATCTCCAACAATTTCTCTTAGGTGTTTTCAAAACACCTGTTAGCTGATCTTGAGCTTGGCAAGAAAAATTATTTCCAGTTCATCTGTGATCTCTGTCAGGTAAGTATCTAACTTACCTTACCCCAAACACTTTCACCATGTTCTCCTTTCCCACCCATTGCAGGAGTGACTAGACAAACTTAAATATATTCCAAGGCACTCCACTGAATTAAATATCTGCACCCTCCTCCACGTATGCTGCATTATTTTATTAGATTTTCAGAATTACTCAGAAAGCTGCATAGAGAAAATACCAGAAATAAAAATCTACGTGATTATTTAGAGTGTCTGTTTAAACAATGTGCACAGTCAGCTCTTTGGGAACACATCAGCATAGGCCAGATCATGTTATTAGGAAGCTTTAGCCATACACGAGACACAAAACACCTAAGACAGAATTTCCAGTACTTACTTTACAAGCTCCCGGCCCTCTGGCCCGACGAAATATTCAACTAACCACTGACAGGCATCAATGCTTTTGGAGAGCAGTGCATCTATGGTGGCAATCCATTCTTCTGTATCAGCCCTTTAACAAAACAGGGACAACTGTCAGTAATGAAAGAGAAAAAACAGCTCTGAAACCTAAGCCATGTTTCTTGTTTGTCAAACCGAAAGAATTTTAGCTTTAACTGAGCATACATTAGACAGCTTAAGACAAAAACACTTACAAGAAGTATTTTGGAACAATGCGCTGTCTTTAAATCCATTAAAGCCTTTCCATGCCCAATCCACTACCACTGAAACAAAGAACAGCTAGGAGAGGCAGCAAACTGTCAGGTTAACAAGACCCTCCTTCCTCTCTCAGATTGCTTTGTGATAGGATTCCAATGCAAAGCAGAAATGTATTGCTACTCCCACGAATGTCTATGCTACCTGCAGTATTTCAAGGTGCTGTAGGTACAACTACAAAAGCCTCAGAATACGTTGTTACAGAACCTAGAACAGGGCCTTACCTGAGTTTCTTCTTGGTTCGGAGATAGGTTTGGAAGAGGAACTGGACTGCCAGCTGTAAGCTCACCTTTGCCATGCATGGATAATATGGATGCTTTACCTTAGTCTGAAAGAAATGTCAATTTAGTTCACAGCAGAAGTATGCCTGTAGCACATATGCCGTCTCTTAAACACATCAACATATTCAATTCGAGTGATTTACTTCATTTGGAAAAAATTAAAGAAAGCATTTTTCTGTGCTAAGAACAGTCTCCAGTGCTGACTATGCTAGTTAACAAATACGCTAAAACAGGAACAAACTTGTAAGACCCACTAGGTCTGTGGATTTAATAAATGTAATAAAGGCTGGTTTGTTTATTACTCCATTTAGAAAAACTTAATTTCCAATTAAAGTCTATCAACTTTGAGGTGACTAACACCAACTTTTGGATCTTCCATACAAAGAGGATTTTCTGCCCCTCTGGAGCTCAGTTTGCATCATTAAAAAAAGGCATGTGTTGTTTCATAAATTTTACTATGGCCTAACGATATTTGTCCCAGTACTAAAACAGGAGGCTGGAATCTGCTTTGATACAGATGTTATCAGCATGAAAAATTATTGCAGACTGTCCTGGTTTGGCTGGGATAAAGTTAATTTCCCAGTTAGTAGCTGGTACAGTGTTTTGGATTTAGTGTGACAATAATGTTGACAACACACTGATGTTTTAGCTGTTGCTAAGTAGCGCGTATCCTAAGGTAAGGATTTTTTTTCAGTTTCCCATGCTCTGCCAGTGAGGAGGTGCACAAGAAGCTGGGACAGAGCACAGCCAGGACAGCTACTCGAACTGGCCAAAAGGATATTCCATACCATAGAATGGCATGCTCAGTATATAAACTGGGGGGAGTTCGCCGGGAGGGGTTGATCGCTGCTTGAGGATGGGCTGTGCATCGGTCAGCAGGTGCTGAGCAATTGCATTGTGCATCATGTGTTTTTTCTTGGTTGTTTCTTTTTTTTTTTTTTAATATTCCTTTTCAT